GTGAAATGGGAATAGAACGTCAATTAAACTATCCCAGAAACTCCGCAACAAAATGATGTTGCAGAACGAAGAAGAAACAGAACCCTACTTGAGATGGTGAGGTCTATGATGGCACAAGCAAACTTGCCCATCACCTTTTGGGGTGATGCTTATTGACTGCCACATATATCCTCAATCGAGTACCATCCAAATCTATTACAACACCCATATGAGTTATGGACAAATCAGAAACCGATTTGAGGCTCCTAAAGCATGGGGATGTGCTGCCTATGTTCACGATCCTTCCCATAAATATGGAAAATTAGGTCTAAGGGGGAAGAAATGTATTTATAAGATATTCAGAACATTCAAAGGGATATGTCTTCATAGGAGAACAAGAAAGTGGTAGCATCACTGAGTTTGAATCACGAGATGTCACATTCTTAGAAAAACGATTTTCCTAAGAAGGGCGAAATAGGTAAAGACTTGTTTCTATATGAAACACAAGACCAAGGCAATTCTGTTGCTGACAATCAGTTGGTTATACTACATCCCAGTGGGAGCAATATGGAAGTTGATGAATCAATTTCAGATCCTCATCTCCCTACTGGTGATCCAACTATGATAGCTGGTCCAAGTGGGAGTAACACCAATCAATCTCAATACGTCGATCAAAAAGGAAACAAGTTCACCGTCGACGATTTGAGATTGAGGGGGAAATTTTCTAGTTACTCCACAAGATGACGAAGAGCCAGGAATGTAAATGAGGCTCCAATTGCCCTTTTAAGGAAAAATGGATGAAAGCAATGGAAGAAGAATTGGAGGCTATGAAATCAAACCAAGTTGGGAATGATTGATTTACCGAAAGGAGCCAGCCATTGGGAACAAGGGTTCTCAAAATCAAGCGTAAAGCTGATGGCAGTATTGAAAGATACAAAGCTCGCTTAGTCGCAGAGGGGTATACACAACAAGAAGGAATAGATTATGAAGAAATTTTCACCTGTTGTACGGTTTACCTCAATTCGACTTATTCTAGCTATAGTTGCCAGCATGGATCTTGATTGCATCAAATGGATGTAAAGATGCTTTTTTCAATGGAGAATTACAAGAAGAAATCATATGGATCAACCAATAGGTTTTTTTAGAGAAGGTCCAAGACAAAAAGTGTGTAGACTTTTAAAGTCAATTTATGGCCTCAAGCAGTCCTCTAGACAGTGGTATATTCGATTTCATACTGCGATAATGTCGTATGATTTCAAAATGATAAATGAAGATCATTGTGTATATACAAAGAGATCCAATAACAAATTGTTATATTATCATATATGTTGATGATATAATTATAGTGGAAATGATAAGGGATTTGTCAATGAAATCAAAGGATGGTTATCATCTCATTTTGAGATGAAAGATATGGGTGAAGCTGCTATATTTTTGGAGTCAAGATTTCAGAGATGCTCAAGAAATTAGTATCTCTTTCACAAGAACCATACATTAAGAAATTTTGAATTTCATATGCAAGATTGTAAACCCATAGACAACCCTACGCAAAAGGCAGACTTTAAGTGTAAAATGTGTCCGAAGACTCCACAAGAAAATGAACAAATGAAGAATGTTCCTTATACAAGTGCTGTTGAAGTCTCATGTACGCCATGATGTGCACTAGAGCCGACATTTGTTATGCCTTGGTTTGGTAAGTAGATACCAGTCCGACCCAGGACAAGCACATTGGAAAGCAGTGAAGAGAATCTTAAGATATCTAAAAGGGACAGCTATGTTACTCATTATGTTATTAAGGAAATGATTTACACTTGAGAGGCTACACCGATGCTGATTGGGGAGGAGATTTAGATGAGAGGAAATCTACTTCCGGATATGTTTTCTTACTAAATGGCGGGGCCATATCTTGAAGCAGTAAAAAACAATCATGCATAACCTTATCTACAATGGAGACTGAGTTTGTAGCATTTTCGGCTGCAGTGCAAGAAGCCGTTTGGTTGAGACGGTTCAGAATCATCTAGGATAATTAATGTTGCTATTGAACCAGTAAGAATAAACTGTGATAGTCAAGCAGCAATAGCATACACTAAGGATCCCAATATCATGGTAAAACGAAACACATAGATATCAATATAATTTTGTGCGAGACTGTGGCACAAAAGGAGGTGAACATGAAGTACATATCTACGCATGACATGGTTGCGGATCCATTCACAAAGCCTATACCGAGAGATACTTTCAATAGACATGTTAGATCTCTAGGCTTACGTAGGTGTTGAATGTACTCATACTTTGAGATTTCCAAAATTGTTCACATTTGTCTTATCAAATTAAATAACAATATTGTCAATGCTCAATTTCGATATTACGGAACAACATGAGGAGCATATTACACATATTAGTTATGTAAATATTATATATGTCTATTTTGAAAAGCATGTCGGACAGTAAAAGATTGACCTTCCAACAGGCAATCGCCTCCATTACTTCGTAGGGATGGAGATGAGACGATTTTAAGCTATATCTAGGTGATATAGAGAGCAAGCTTAAAATGTTTGACGTCGCCTAAAACGAGAATTAAATAATGTCATAATGAAATGTGACCACAAGTGATAAATGATCACTTTATCTGTCTAATTGCCAGATTAGAGTTCTGATGAATATAAGTATGTAAAGTGAACTCAAGTTGACATTAGGCATGTATGAACTAAAATTGTACAACTTTACAAGAAAAGAGACATGCACTCCATGGGAAAGGAGGAAATGCTGTAGCATGGATTCATACCCCATGTGCAAAACATTGACCAAAGGGTAATGAAAGTCAAAATCTCAACTTTAACTGTGTGAGACCCTGAGTTTTTTTTGAATAAAATCTATAGAATACCCTTATTACTCTATTCTGTTTCTTGAAAACTTCATTTAATGATTGCTATCTTAGAGTGTTACCAAAGGATTAAGATAAATTCAATCGCTGGGACATTTCTAGAAAAGCAAGTTAAATAAAAGTTGCAAGAATCGAGAAAAGAGGAAGATTACGATTTTGATTATCACATTATAATTACGTGTATTCATTGGTCGACAATTATGTTTACTTTTATGTAAAGATGAACATAATATGAATACAAAGGATATTTTTTTGTAAAGGATTGTTAGAAAAATGTGATAAGTAATCTAGGGTTGACATACAACTACAATCTGAGTTTCACAATTCGAGAAGTTATAATTCCTAACAGAATATGACAACGTGCTCTCGAAGTATGCCTGGTCACACGGCATATTTACTAAGGTATGAACCTTAAAGAAGCATAGAGAGAGAGATAGTCCCATCATGTGGAGTGGGAGATATTGGATAAGTTCCGTTTGTTTTATTTAAATCTTGTTTAAATAAAGTCCACCCATGATGGAGGACGTGAGAAGTGGAAACTGCAAGGCAGTTTCTCACGAACCGCTGCCCTATAAAAGGAAAACTTTTTCCTTTTAGAAAGCGTTACGATACTGTTACTTTAAAAAAAAAAACGCAAGAAAATAACGCTCTCTCTCTCTGAATTTGGAAAATAGGAAAACGATTTGTGGTTTTTCTTCCAGATACTTGTTGCTTCAGAGATAAGGAAATGAGGTATTTATGCTGTGTAAATTCATTGTAGTTTATTTATATACAAATGTGATTGCAATGGTGACTATGATCTGGGATTATGTTAGGATATATGTTATTCTATTTAATTTCCAACATATTATTATTATAGAAGTATTTATTACAATAAATTGAAATTATGTATATTATTTTATTCCACATTTCATAGGCATGAAGTCTTTAAAGATTTTTGAGGAAGAAAAATCAATAAGGCAACAGAAATAAATGATTCTATAGCACATTAGAAATTATTCTACATTTTAGTATTTTTTTTAATTGTTTAGTTATAACTTGTTTAAACTTCTTACTTTTAATTAGGGCTGTGCAACAAAAAAAAAAAAAAAAGAAAAAAGAAAAAAGAAAAAGAAAAAAAAGAAAACCGAAACCGAAAAAATCGGTTTTTTTAAACGTTTTGGTTCAAGTTTAAAATTTGGGCTGAATCGGTTTCCAATTTGGTTAGGTTCAGCCAATTTGAAATCCAGTTAACCGGATCCGAACTGTTAACCCTTTTTTTTTTTAAGTTCCAAATTCCAACTCCAATTTTCTTAAGGACTTAATTAAAATTATAACAAGCGAGCACTGAACCAGTTTGCACTTGTGGTAGTTGGGATCCTCAATTTAGTACAAATTTGGAAAAAGCTACTTCCAGAGTTGCGATGTACGGTTTTGAACTCCATTAAAAAATTACTGTATTTTTACTGTTCCATTGGGACTTATTTTGTTGTTTCATTATGACTGTTTTTTGTTATTTTTCTGTTTGTGTTGATTATGTATCATATTTTCAAGTATGATGTATTGCCTTTAAAAAAATAAAAATGTTTTTTTTTTCCTTTTTAAAACCAGTTCAAAATCGGTTAATCGAATCTGTTCATAACTGGTTAGGCTCTTGAACTGATTTCAAAACTGATTAACCGGATCAGTTCATAACTAGTTAGACTCTTGCACTGATTCGAGATTTTGCTTGAATTGGTTTTCCTTTCGGTTTGAAAAAAATCTGATTAAGACCGATTAACCGGTTTTGCAGACCTTTACTTTTAATAATGGTACAATATGTTTATTTAGAACATTAATTCTATACAGTAATAATTTACTTAATTATAATATTATTTATTTTTAATATGATTATTTATATGTTTATATATAAATAAATTGGGGGAATGGAATGGGTCTGGGTTACATACTCCCGATGGGGAATTCCCCGTCCTCATCTTGCTTTAATAGTTTGGGAACTGGGTGGGTGCAGGGACCGAAATCCTAAGTAGAGTGGGGAATGAAGGAGGCCTCTCCGCCCTGAACTGCCCCATTGCCATTACTATTCATCACAAATATTTAAAGCCTGGCAGTACTCTATTCACGAATACACATCCATTTTTTTGACCCTTCTATGCTACTACGGTTCAATGCTCAAACTACTTGGAGTCACAGTCACTGCTTCAGCTAAGTTCTGAGAGATTGGAAGACTGTCCGAGTGGCAGACTTTTACAGAGAATCGCTGTTTAGAATGCCCCCAGTACTTTAAAACAGTCAGAATCAGCGTCCTAATTGATCTATTTACCAGCAAATTTTGATGAAATTCCCAGTTGCGCCTGTGACCGGCATAAATTACGAGAGCAACTGTTGAAGTGGCTCCTGTTAACACAAATAGTACCCAGAAACTGCTGGGGCTGAGACTTGAAATGTCATCGTCCAAATCCACTTCTATACATTTCTCTGCTGTAATCATGCTCGTCTCTAACTCTCTCAGCTTCCCGCTTTCGGATACTTTCAGAAGCGCTTCTATTACGCTTGGAAGCAATGGAGATACCTTCGGAAATGCCTGTGCCACATTGATTAAACACATCAAATTTTAGTTAAATGATTTATGGAGATGAAAATCCAGGGAAAGAAAAATATTACAAATCCAAAGCCTCCGACTTTGTATGTAGGCCCAGCCGTGGTAAAGCTTTTGCAGTATCTTGCCAGGAAGATTTTGGCCACGGCAACTTCAAGGAATATTGCTCCAATTTCTCTGCTTTTAAGGTCGTTGACATAATCTTGAAGGGACGTATAACCCCTGAGGTTTCTCTCTTTAAACTTCAACACATCGATCAAATAACTTGCGACAAAAGATGCATTAGAGTAACCAACGATTGCATTACTATTCTGTAATGATTCGATGTTATCTAGAGTTGGTTCTAGCCCTTGCACAGTGAGCATGCTGGTGAGATTAGCCGTGTACGTCTGGCTTATGATTAGTGCTACAAACAGCCAAACCACCATCGTCATCCTCGACAAATTGCTGTGTAGTCTTTCGCCTTTGCTCGGCCGTCACATCAACAGAAGAACGTCAATTAAGTAATGTTAATCAACCACCTAACGATAAATTAAATGATTTGTACTACCATGTAAGGAGAAAAGTGAGCTGAAGGATAACCAGAGAAAGGTTCCCGTTTGCTGAAATGCAGAGCCGGTTAGCTCATGCCCGTGATTTCGCTCTATCAGCCATACTACAAAGCCGTTGTAGATGCTGACGATGACTGTTAAAATCCACATCGCGTTCGTAAAAGGCTTCATAAATAACAAGGCCTTGTTGCTCGATTTCTGAAGTGGGACTATCATCACCAACCCGGATTCTGTGTATGGATGTGTGAAGTCCGCATGCTTCAATCTCTTGGTCACTATTGCTACATCCCCAACTACTGCATCAAACTTCTGCAAATTTGCAACCAAGTGTGATTAGAACGTCAGTAAGAGAGATGAATTCCATAGAGGGAAGCTGATTTTTTACCTTCAAGTAAATTTGTTTTACTAAATCATCGTATGAGCCATTGAAAGGAAGAAATTCGTATGGCAAATGGAATGGCAAGAGCTCTACTGTTACTTTGAAAAGCTGAATTGAAAATCCATCGAAGTCACTGACATTTCGCAGCTCATCATATGCAACTCTCACATACTCTTTGAATTCGCTTCCCACAGGCACGCCGATTCTCAAAGGCTCTTCACTAGTTGCTGCTTCAGTCCATCCTTTTGGGGTATACAAGGGAGCTCCGGGCCAAACAACTTGCCCCAAATCTTTCAGGGAAAGATTATAAGTGGCCAGATTATCGATTGTCTCAGAAAAGTCTGATCCATTTGTCCAGAATCCTAGTTCTCTGTAACTCCTTCCCACCAGATTAATGATTTGATATATGCGAGCTGGAGCTACCTTCTGGTTGATGAATTGAACCTTTCCGGTTAAACCGAAGAAGTCAGAGAGCAAAATACTCTGTAATAACGTTTGGTTATTTCCCTTCTTGTTGCTTTCTCTCATTGCTGAAGCTACTGACTGCACAGCATCATATGCTTGCACAGCGAAAGCACCAGGCTCATGGTTACTTTCTTCAGGATACTCTGAGCCAAACCGTTTGTGAAATCTCTTGGAGAAATCCTGAAACTGGGGATTGTCTTCAGGAATGTAGCTCCGAACTCCTATAATTCCTTGCATTAATGAGGAGATGGTGGCGCCATTGATGGAATGCACAAGACTCGTAAAGGAGTCTGTAGTTATCCAAATATAGTCTTTTTCCATCATCTTCATCTTCTTCACCTTTTCGAATAGATGTTCAGCTAATGGCAAGGGCAAATGAACCACGAACACTCTACACGGGCTGCTTTTAAGCTTCTGAAGCTCTTTGGTGATCAATCTAGACGAATTAAATATAAAAGGTGGAAGAGCAAGAACATGGCTAATTTGTGCTCCTACTTCTCGTAAGGCATCGGAGAGATGAGGTATTATTCCGGTAGCCGAAGAACCTACGTCTTCATAAATTACAGTAACCTGGTGCCATTCCCAGGACTGCACAATTGCAGCTATGGCTTTCATTTGCGCATACTGGTTTGGTGAAGCTTCAAGTAGAAAAGGCCACTTTTCTGCAGCCCAATTCGGAGTTGCGTCGGCGAAAGAAAGAACTGGAATCTGATCGTGGCTAGCTATCTCCGCAACCAATGATGTTTCTTCCCATGTCTGTGGTCCGAGAATCGCTTCAACTTCTTGTGAGTTGATAAGATCCCTTGCTGTAATTAATTTCATTAATACCATGCATATAAAATTAGACCAATACTGTACTCACAGTTTTGTGTGCATACTTTTAGAAATATTAATAAAAATTGAATTGGAAATTGAAAAGTTCAGCACTCACATACGACAACATTGGAAATATAAAAAAAATTTGGAGTTTAATTATATATATATATATAGTGTTTACCTGCAAGAACTGCGTGAACAGGTTCTCTTTTGGAGGTTCTTATGTGCAGAAGGAGACTTTGATTACTGCCGATGTTGAAATCTTCCACTGCCATCTCCATTGCTACAATCTGTTCTTTACCAACACGAGAAGTGTTGTCCACAATGGCACCGATAATGCCCTTAACATGGTTGTTTTCAGCATCAGTAGCAGCTTCATCAGCTCTTAATGTGAATATCAACACCAAGAGCAAGAAAGAGCAGAGAGCGAGACTCATATTCTTTCTATCCGGAGAAGGAGATCAAGTATATAATGGTTGGCATTCAGTTCCTATTTATACAAACAAGAAAGGATCTTAAACGTTTCTTTTGGTCCAAGATTTATAATATGAGTTCTTAATTTTATGTTCATTTTACAATTTCTTCAGTCAAAGTCTCAATTCCACGAACTGATACTAAATTTCGTAGAAAAGTGCTAACATCTCCAGATATCGACGTCTCAAACTCTCATAGCCATCTTACGCATGAATCTTTGAATCTTTATATTAAAATATAAGGATTTTACTAATGAGAAACTCCCATCTCCACTTCATTGAACTGATATACAAACTTCGTCTTTGTTCAATTAAGCGTGCAATAAACGGCCAATTATGGTGGACTACATTTATATTGAGAAAGCTCCTATTATTATTAATTAGGGTTAATATCAAGAACAAAATTTAACGGTTGGTAAGTGTGGAATTGCCTTGAATTTCCACATAGAATCTATCTAGCTTTTAATATTTACTCGTTCAAACTTAATGACTAGAATGTGACTTTTAACAAGTAAATTTCCGGAATGTTCCTTCAGCTGATCAGCACGGCGATGTAATGACTTTTTTTTTTCAAGATCAACGTATGACGGGTTCATTTATTGATCATTAGAAGAAATTGTGTTTCCTATATATGTGTTAAAAAATCATTTTATTTTTCTTTTGATGAATGGGGGTGTTTGAGTCAGTTTACGTATATTTTAACTAATTTCTCAAAATCCTGAAATTGTTGATTGGATAAGACTTCTAATGACTATCTTTATTAACAACCGAAAAGAGACATGAATTCATGATCTATCTAGTAATATCCTTAAGAGTATCTATCGAACCACTCGATCACCTAAAGGTAATTAAAAGTCAAGTTTTTTCGAGAGTTAATTTAGGACCTTTTAATTTATCATTTAAAAACCATTTAAAAAAAAATAAGAGTACAAGGGAAATTTTTGAATTGTATTCTTAATATATATATTTAAATTTTGAAAATACATTTGATACAATATTTGAAAAATATTTTCAAACTTAGAAAAAATTTAAAAGGACACATTATATTAAAGCAGTGGAAATTTAGGAGGCGTTAGCGTAGAAACTCTAGGTAAATTTGAGTTACGTTCCTAATAAAATACCAAAAACAATTGCCACTAAACAACATAATAATTAATTATAAGAACAATTAATATCAAATTTTTCTCTAATGTCACATATGATGTTCTGTATACACATTTGGATTTGGGGGTTTGGAATATATTAATTTTAAGTCGAAAATAAACTATAATATATCCATATTTAACAATTAAATTGTGGTCCCTTCTGTATCTTACAATTAATTGGCTCATGGTAAATTAAAGCATATATTCTTCAATCTCCTATGAAATTTTTTTAATTAATATATCAATACGTGTTAGGAGAATATTCTTGCAAAGACAGAATCTTGTCGACTCCAGTCAATACTCAAAACTCTATTGAATTTGAATCAATTGTTCTTATATTTTCCCAGTTTGACCTACTTAAGCTAATGGTCAAATGCCTCTAAATTAATCTTAAATATTTTATGGATCGACTTCATTGACATGTTCTTCACTCAACTAAATTAACTCAGCAAATAAGAAGACAAGCCCTATTCTTTTAATAAGAAGTTCTATATTATATAAATTTTGGATTAAATTTAAAAAAAGCAAGGTTGAGTAGTTAAGCTTACGATATGACTTAGTGTCTTGTTTTAGTAAAAGGTTTACAAGTTCACAATTTGAACAACCATTACAAGTAATTATCAACTGTTGATACAAAAATCTATACCAATTAGAGTGATCCGATCGACCTTGACGGGATCAGAACTGGTGTGTGCGTAATTACGGTTAACCAGCAATGAATGAATAATGAATGCAGTAAAATAAATGACAAAGAGATTTTTAAAGTGGTTTGGCGAGATGAACTCTTGAGCCTACGTCCACTGTTTTTTGTATTTGCTATGAGAGCTTACAATAGAAATTCTAGGAATATTTTCCAACCCTTTCTCATTGTTTGAGAGGGTTTATATATAGAGTTTGTATAAAGGAAAGAGCGAAAATAAAGGGACTACAATTAAATTGAAATGCAACTCCAATATTCTTGTGATTGGGTGCTATGATTACTGTCAATTTGACCCTTTCTGAGATATCTAGGATATGAAGTTATTTGGAAATTGGTTGAACGATCGCACAGATTGTTCGTGATTAGCTTGTGCTGGGTCGAGCTATAGCTTGACGAGCTTATGTTGGGTTAGACAATTGGTGTAGTTGAGCTGGCTCTGGATCGGGCTATAACCTCGCGATACTCTGAGCTTGATGGAAAAATCATACACAACATTTGCCCCCTAATGTTCGATGTTCGTTTTGAGCTTCGAAGACTATTGCTCGATTTGATATCAAGCTCGACATCATCGGCAGGTCATCAGATACAAGTTCGGTCGAGCTTCAAGGATCGAACTCATGCCCTGTCGATGTAATCCACACTTGGATCTTCTCTCTTCTGTGACACCTGACGAACTTGGAATATGAATAGTCAGGACAATTACGTAAATTCAACGTGGTCATGTCGCATTAAATGCGACAGCCTTTGGCAATCACGTTTCATCGCGCGTGGGCGACTACAGTTGTTCATGTGCGGAGTTGAGGCGATGTACAGTGACAGTTATGATCACAGCAATTTGATGGTTTGCCGCCCCTCATGGATGGCTGACACGTGGCTACGTCTAAGAGCTGAGATTGCTCGACGAATGAAGGGTCGAGATTCATTGTAGATTGATGGCTACGATCAAGCCCCTATTTTTCGTCTCCCATGCAAACCACTATAAAAGCGGGTGAACTCGTCAGAAACTTACTCAACTTGCGAAAATTCTTTGACGTCTTTGCTTATTCTGTCGCTACTTCATTGTCATTACGATTCTCTTTCCGACGAGTTCTTCCCGTTCTCTTGTTCTAGTAAGGTTTTTTTTCACTCTCTTTAGTTGCTTTCCTGATTTTTGTGGGTAAGGGTGGCCATTGTCATGGCCATAAGGAGTCTTCTAGGGCTTTGCTAGGGTTTTTAAGTGTGTTTCTGACGGTCTTGGGTTTAAGGAGGGTTTATCATGGTGGCTGTCAGAATCCTAAGTAGGTCGCATGCATTCGTTGTCTGGCACGAGCTATCTTGGGTGCTTGAACTAAAAGCAAAGTGTGGATAGGTCGCCGAGTTTTTCGAGCTCTGACACATGTTCGCTTTTGTTTCAGTTAGCCAGAAGCGAGCTATAGATATGTCTTCGTCCAACAACCACATGATTAATCACATGTTCGACTCACTCGTGGGCTCGGTAGTCCTCGAGGGTATAATCCTCGAGGTTTCCAAGGAGATTGTCATGAGGAGCTCGGATCCTGACGTGGCGGGCTCGTTCGATTGCGTCTCTGTACAGTTGGCTCAATCCAAGTAGTCTCTAGCTCACAAGCTGAGAGGGAACTACAATCATTGATTGACTTTGAGGATCTAAGGCGTATAAGAGAGACTTATGCGCCACAACTTAACTTGAGGGTCTCGAGGAACTTTTCTTGGAAAAATCTCTCAGCCGGATGGGTGGCGACCTCTGAGACCTTCCTGAGATGTGGGGTATCCATTCCCCCTCACCATTTTATTGACAACGTTTTGAGATGGTTCATCATCGTCCTTCTCCAGCTATTCGCGAACTCTTACATCATAATTATAGGTCTGTATATAGCATACATGATCATCGAGTTGGGTGAGCCATCCGTTGAGTAGTTCGTCCACTTGTATAGATTAAATAAAAGGTAAGACCAGATGTATTACCTCTCCAAGACCAGGAAGGTAAGTTTCAATTGGCTGGTCGACGTCCCAAAGAAGATCCCGCATTGGGACTCCCAATTTTTCTTTTATGGGACTTGGGAGATCGGCGTTATTCCTTCAGAAGCAAGTAAGACTTCAACCCACAGCATGTGCGAAGATCGCTTTTAAACTTTATGTTTAAGCTAACTGAGCTTATTTGCTTTGTAGTTAACGTCAATCAGAATATATCCCTACTGCGAGCTTACAGAGACTCTAGTGTTTTAGCAACCTCTCTGACGGACAACGCAACTTTAACGATATCATCTTTCTTCCTCAATTGAGGGCGTACGACTTCAATGAGGTTAACGCCAATTTCTTTACCATTCTCGAGAAAGGTAAGTTATTGCTTACTCGTGCTTATTCCTCTTATGTAGGTAGGTTGCTTACTACTTGTTTCTTTTTTTTTTTTTTTGTAGAAATGTGGGTCGAGCAACCAAAAGGCCTTAAGAAGAAGGCGACAACTTCTGTGGTTGTCAAGAAAACGCCGACTGTTTTGGCAACGAAGCAGTTATTGATATCGTTGGCACGAAGTGCATCGGGGTGAACTTAGGGAAGACCTAAGTGCGAAAAAGCCCACGATTGCCTCGAAGTTAGTTGACAGGAAATGTGCCCTTGAGCCCTAAAAGAGGCCTGTCAAAGAAAACACCTGAGCTAATTGGAGGCTCGGGGAAATAGAAGGCGCCCAAGTAGTATGATGGCTCAGGCAAGAAGAAGTCGACTGAGCCTTAGGGGGCCTCGTGAAAGCAGAAGATGGCTAAGCAGCTAGTTGGCTCGGGCAAGGAGGTCGCTGTGCAGGCTGGCGGCCTAAAGAAGTCTATGGCCAAGGACTTGGCTAAGAAGAAGTCTGCTCCCACGGGCAAGACTATCACTATTGGGGGAAGTAAGTCCAACTTGTCTTGGCAAGGAGGCAAGAAGATGGACGAAGCGGCTCAAGCTGTGGTCGATGCTTTGATCGATCAAATCCCCAACCATATTAGCATTGGGGTCATAGTAGCCAGGGATGGCATCACCACACGAACATTTTCGGGTGTTAGGGATTCATCTCCCACCTAGATTCTGGCTTGGGTGTGCAGTTATACGGCAAAGGTACTAGTAGTTCACCCTCTTTACTCTTTATGCAT